AGTCTACCTTAACTCCTCTCTCTAGATAAGGCTGAGGAGATCTCCAAAAGATAAATCATGAAGCTTTCCTCTTATCAAATGTTGCCTCTCCCTGTTGTGTGAATATGTAAGGTCACATACTTCTTTGCTGCTGCATAAAGAACACTCAGCTATGTTTTGAAACAATCACCATAGTGTTCTTCCTCCTCCTTGTTTATAATTTTGCTGCTGCTATTTGTGTGATTTAGAGAGGTTGGTTTTATTCCTCAGAGCTTCTAGTGCAATTAAAGAAAATAAAGAGCAAATGCTCAAGTAGTTAAGAAGAATGGAAAAGGTAAAAGATAAAGACAAAGGCAGAGGTACCATGAACAACTCCTAAAGAGGAAAGAATAAAATACAGCTTGTTTTCAACATGCCTTAACAGGCACAACAATTCCAGATTCCATTTATTTCAAATCATAATATGGTTTGGAGGGGAGGAGCCAGTAACTTCTAAACAATATGAACATCCAATTTAATAAAACAGCGATCACTTGTCTATTGTGAACTTCAAAGTCACGCTGTATTTATAACACACAGTTGTTCAAACAAGTTGGCAAACTGTGATACGCCCTACTTGCACCAACCACTTGTATGCCAGGATTTTTCACACTCAAGAGGAAAAGAAAAACAAAACAATCATTCAAATGAGAGCTGTTTTGGGATTTTAACTGTTTCATCTTGACTGTTGCACAAACATGCCATATCTAACCTTGTGGCACGAAGCTAACGTGTTTGCTCACAGGCTCTGTCCTCCTTTTCACCTTGCTAACCTCAGTTGAAGTTGTTTGAACTTGTAGAGGCCACTAATTCATGTCCATACCTCAGCAACCTGACTTCTTCACCCTCAAATTCACATCTCTTCCCCTCTGCTCTGCATTTCAAAATCCAGAATTAAGCAAACCTGCAGTAGATGTGCATGTTGAAACGCACTATTGCTTTCTGCTTTGTAGTTTCCTTGTTGCCCAACAGCTCTGTCACTAGCCTTTTTTTTTTTCCTGAACACACTGCTAGTTTTCACAGTACATTCTGAGAATAAAAAAAAAAAAAAAAAAAAAAAAAAAAAAAAGTGGGATCTCAATAACATCCTTAGTAAAGGCGTTTTCTGCCTATTTTTTTCTTCTTCTTTTTTAAAGGTATAGTAAAACACAGTGCTAGATGACACACACCAAATAAACATGCGAAAATTTGACAATCCTTGTTCTATGTTACACACCCATTGAAAGTTGTGGGTGGAGAATCTCCAAGGAGGTCAAGCTCAGTTCTTTAAAAATATTTCCACTTCTACATTGTATACAGATGAGAAGGTAAAATGTCTCTGTCCCAAACCTTGGTAGCATTGTTTCCATTGCAACTTTAACTAAGTTTCCCAAAAGACATCTATGTTTCACTGTATGAGATACCATACAAGTGATAAAATTTAATGTATCCCTCTCACTGAAGATCATGAATTTGCTTAAATTGCCATTTCTACCATGCCTAATGCAGGCATGCTTTTTATTTACTAGCCTGCTGCAGGGTTAACTGGGGAAAATGGTAAGGGTCCCTTCTCCACACTGTTTCTGCCTTAATCTGTATTTATTGCTTCAGTTCTTTTATGCATCATTTTAGAGCATTTCTAAATCATCAAAAACCATGAAACATTCAGTTACTGTGAACTGAATTCACATGTTCAAAGCCCATTTCTCAGCAGACAACTCTGCCATTTCTGCCAGCAGGAGCAAAGCAGGAGCCACAAGGCAACATTAAACAAGTTCTGCACGCGTCCTGAGCTAGCACGCATGCCAGGCATGCTTTGAGAAGCCATCGCTCTGAAAAAATGTGGTTCAGAGAGTCTTGTGTTCGGCTGGTTGAAGGTCACCACCAGCACACGGGTCAGGTCAGCCCTACAGCTGCCTCAGATGTGTTTGTCTGGGCCAGGCAGAGCTCACGCAGTTCCTTCCCTGCATTCCTTTCCACAGCTGCACCTTCCTGGTTTCGGGCTTGCTTCCCCATGGACCAGCTCCACGGCCCACATTCTGCAGTAAAAGCTAAGGACAGGTGCCTCCAGCCCAGCCATCACCTTCATGGCTTTTTCCTTCCTTTTAAAATGCCCACTGAACCTCCTTTCCCACACACAGAACTTGTCCCATGTGCACTCACCTCCCCAGAACAAACGATTTGAGACGAAGGTGCAGTCTTGCAGTAACAATCACATTAACTATTTATTCCGCTGAAACAAACGATGAGTCAAGAACAGCTTCTCAGATATGGAAGAACTTTTAGCTTCTACTGCCAAAATTATTTTCCCAACAGGGCTTGCCTTCCACAAAGTGACCTGACCCAAAGGTGTTTGTACCTGCAACCAGGTGTGACTCAGAGACAAAGTACCAACACAGTACTTGATATCATTTGGTGTGTAGGACTTAGAGAGGAGAAAGATGAAGCCAGACACATGATGCTGATAAGAATTTCTTTTTATGTTATTCCAATAAAAAATACATTCATACAGAAATATAACAATCTTGCAAAAAACAATTTCAAATAAAATCTTGTAAAACAAAATTTTTACAAAAATCTTACAAAGAGATTCTTTAGATAACAGGGTGCTTCAAAAACAAAAAAAGAAATTTCACTAATAGAAACTTTTTCTTCTTAAATTTCAAGCAAAAATGTTTTATTTTTTTTTTTATTTTTTCAGCTTGATTGAGGCTCAGTTATCACCTGAACAAAATGTACTTGCTTATTAAGAAAATTACAGGCATTTGACATATGGCACACAGCCCCACCCCATCCACACAAGTCTGATGGTATTTCACAATTGAGACAAGCCAGTGCAAGTTGTTTTTTTTTTTTTTTTTTTTTTTTTTTTTTTTT